CAATGCCTAATGAAGCAATCAGTATGATTTGCTTCATGTCGAATCTTTTCCCATCGCAAGAATAAAAAAGCAACTCATATTGAATAGGTGGAGCACTTAATAGAAGAAGCGATGGCTCTGAAGCAGTCTTTATAGGCAAGGCGTTGACTCAAGCCATCATCCAAATAATTTCCTGTCCGCCCTCAAATGACTCGGTTATGGTAATTCTACAGAAGTCATTCTGTAATCACACATTCCATTGTGCGGTATTGCCATAGACCTGGTTTTTTACGCACTATTAACTTATCATTTTTCATAGTATCACAGTACTGTAAAAAAAATACCTGTTCGTTCTCAATCTACTTTACGGTCTATGACGTAGTGGAGTCCAAACAACTCTCAGCACAAAACGGAAGAGTGTTATTATTTCTATGCTAATATTTAACTTGCAATGTCAGGGATCATTGGATAAAGCAAACCTCTGAATGGGTATTCAACACTGTTTGGGAATGCTCTTACTTCGGTTTCAAGTTTGCCGAAACGCAAATATGTGATAACAAATGTGAACAAATAACAGCACATATGAGGAATAATAATACATAATAATATAGCAGTCTTTTCTGCAAATGCACTCATTCCGAAATAAGTAAGGACTAGCCTGGATCATCTGAAGCAAACAGAAATGCAACGTGCTAGAACGCTGTTGTTTTGCATACCGCAATCATTTTACAAAGCGTCTTGGATGCAACAAATTTTTAATAGGCTGCAGCCAACTGACTACGCTTAACCATTGGCTGTTGGCATATGGGAAAATATGAAATGAAGCAATAATGAGCAGTCTAGTTATGATATTATAACGTTCAGTGATCGGTATCATTTGGTAAGAAAAAACGTTAAACAAAATGATCTATTACAAGCTAATAAAGTTACTAGGGTGCACACCATGTTAAAAAAGTTTTATAGATAATTTTTTACTGCTCAATGAGTACTTCCATAGATAAATAAACAATACTGCCCGCTTTTACTGATGATAACAGAAGATGTGTATTAATTACACATCCAGTTTTTATTACTAGTATATACAAGGTCTCCTCTATCGGCAAGCCTAATTTTGATTGGTCTTTGTCTATGACGAGTACGACTGGAAGATGAAAGAATGCCCTTCAGCAATCACGTGCTGGGCAATACCAGACATGTCAGGCTGTCCATAGAGGGCCGCTGAAAGATACATTTTTATACCAATATTCAATTTCCGCCCGGTCTTTCCAGTGTGCACTTGGTCGCGGTCTACACACTGAACCTAGTATACAAGATTTGACACATCTTCAGGATTACTAATAGGCATATACTTTTTAAATAAAATGTCGCCCAGTGTTCTGCCGGTCTTGTAGTAAGCCCTAAGCCCCATGTCATTAAGATACCTCGTGATACGCTGAGAAACCTGAAGTATGAACGGCAAAATTACCATCGGTTCACATGAACTGGCCATCTTTAAGTTTGAGCTGGGGTGCACAAGTTCTTCTTCATTGCTCTTCCTTCGGCAGCCGTTCTTTAGGAACATTTGGTGAAGATGATGGGTTTCTGCATTTAGGCTAGAGCAGGACTCCCGGGCTTGTAGTCGTATGTTCTTCAACACGTTCCCTCAGTAATTCAGGAGGGAAATATGATAAAGTGGCACATTAACGAAAGTGAATTCTACTGTATTGCAGTGCCAAATGCGATTCTTCACTTTGATCACTGTCTGCAGATTGCAGTTTTGATGCCCTGGTTTAATTTACAAAGATAGGATAACGTTGCAGAAATCAGTCGTTCAAATTTCATGGAAACTTTGCTCCTTCGTA